TTAATTTTGATAATTAAAAATTCATAGCTTCGTAAAATAAACCTCTATTAGTTTTTCTCAATTGACTCGTTTTTCGTATATAATTTTTACTTTCTCTCTTTAGAAAATCTTCTTTCTTTTCCTTGAATCTCTATTTGCTTTTTATTTCGAATTTTTTTCTCATCTACGTTTTGTGTACCTAGGAGAGACTGCGAAATCTTCAATTTCTCCGAATTTCTTTCGAATTATTATCTACGCGCGGCTGTGCGCAGGAGTTCTTAGCTGCGTTACAATTTCTTTTTATCTTTATACCTCAGCTTATACGTTACAACGAATGGCTCGCGACACAGATGCGACGCGGGATGCTTTTTATTGGATTTTCTGTAAAACGGGAGGACGTGGTCCAGGCCCCTAGACGGAAGGTAAAGAGAAGAAATTGAGAGCGGGAACCTAACCGACTCTATTGAGAAATGCGAATGGCGAGCGGGATAGAGCAAATCTCCTTGTACGGGCGCCCATGTGTGCATGCGCACATGCGGAGCAAACCGGTGGTACAACGACCCGTCGCAGCTAACCGGTATTCGCGCCGGCCGAGTCAACTGGATATAACCGGATCGCCGACTCGAACGCGAGCAATTAAGAGGCGAAAGAATAAACAGGGATAGAGAGAAACTGACAGGAGGGACAGAGACAGAGAGAGGGAGAGAAAAAGAGAGCAAGACGCGTCCCACATGCTACTTGCATACACATTACGCATTACGCCCGTATAAAATGATTGCATTAGGTCGAGAATGTCCTGTCTTAAGATAGATTGGTGTTTGTCAGACACGGAGCAAAATTTATTCGATCTAGGAGAATGGAAGTATTTTCTACGGAATTATTTTTAGTTTGGACGGATTTATCTGAAATTCAGATTTTGACGATTACCTATAGAAAAAGATATAAATGATACATACATAATTAAAAAATTAGAAAATTAATACAAAATTTGAAGTGCGAGGACGAGTTGTTTTTCATAACGCCAAAAAATATAATCTTTTTGTCTTAAATTAATTAAAAATTTTAAAATGTATTAGTTACATTTTGAAAATCTCAAACTGTGTTTATGTAAAGTTATAGCGATTTTTTCAGTATAAAATAGATTTATTATATGTTAATATTCGCAAATAATTATGGTTGGAGCTTCAGAGAATTAATCTTACTTCATTTTATAACATAGATAATTTTTTTGCTAATTGTAATGATAAATGTATAAAAAAAATATACTACTGTTAGATTTATTTTCCTCTTTAGTACTTATAAATAACTAGAATAGTGCTAACCAGCAGTCGCCCAGTTAACAAAATATTATAAATTAATTACGTATTTTTTATTTACATATATGGTTAAAAGAAAACGACAATTTGGTCAATTTTTTAAAATATACGTTTGGTACGGAATAGCAGGATGGTGTCAATTTATATAAAACAGAACCCATCCTTACGTAAGTTCAATCGGCTTATCGAAATCCGGATTACGCCGGATATCGGCGTATACTATAAAGCGTATACTATAGAAAAAAAATATTTGCAGATAGTATTTGATTGGCAGAAACGGTTTAGCGCGTGAACGAAAACGAAGCCTATTTATCCACGATGAAACACAGTTTGACTGTAATCGCACAATTTTCTGCATTTTACTATAAAAATATATATTTTCGTGTCTGCCATCTAACAATAAAAGCATCTAAAAAATTTGGCTCGTGTACAGACTTGCGTTTGAAAAATATTTCTACATATCTTTGCCGCCATAACTTCTCGACGGGAGATTCATTATCATAAGTGTGTTTATCTTCCGCACACAAATTCCAACGCAATCTAATGTTATCGATGACTCGATGAATCTCCTCATATGATACCTGATATTTTTCACTCGATCGCTTTATCGATAAAAATCGTGATTTCAACTACTCTTGAGAGAAGATAAATCGCGCGATTTTTTGACGATTAAATCGTCATTGTCTATAATTTTATCCACGAATGCGTGGGTGCACTTTACTAATCAATATCTGAGATGAAAAGTACAATGGATGCTTGTAGTGATTATACCTCATCGTACTTTGATTGCTTATCGTTAAAATCTACCGCTTATCTATATCTATATTATAGATATAGATAATAGTACAATATAGATATGCTATTTCGAAACGAATAAATCTTGAAAGCTTCATAATACAAATATTACTCGATAATAAATGGATACAAATGAGCAACAAATTTTCCTTAAATTGTGGATATTTTTCGATTATGTTACGATTAGATAATCGTTAAAATAGAAACAATGATTGAGTCCATGGAATCCACGGAAGCAATGACTGCAGTTAGTAATTTATAAATGTGTGCTGCCTTTAAAATAAATCAGGCTTAAAATTAGTTTTATGAGTTCAGAAGTGTAAAAAAAAGTTGTAAAAAGACCGATATCTTTAATTGGGAACAATCAATGTCATCTTGCGATTAAAATTTAGAATAGTCTTTAAGAATTTAGGATCAGAACGTTGTGGAATATTAGAGAACGGGGAAAGAATCGAAATAACTTATTAAATTAATTCCTTTCGAAGTTTTAGAGTTTAAATTACGTTCTCTCTCTCCATAAAGATCGCTCCGTTTTTATAACCAATCTTCGATATCGGATATTGAGCGGAATATATAACTTTGTGTAAGATGAACCCTCATCAGACGGTTCGCTTCGATTTAATAAATCTCAGGAAATTGCTCGCTATTCCATGCAGTTTTGCGGCATTAAATTCACCCACCTGCAGCTCGTTGATTAGCTCATCCTTCGGTAGCCTGTATTTCGTGGTTACCGGAATACCGTGCTCGGCGAGCAGCGCCCCGCAAGACTCGTCCACGGGATCGCTTATGAGAACGCTTCTGAAGTTGACCGACATGTTATCCTTGAACAAACAGAGCGCCCTTGAACACCTTATTTATTCTGTCTTATTGAATAGAGAAGAACCGCTGATCGCGGCGCGTTCCGATGCGGCGACGTGATCTCGATCGAACATTTCCGCGTGGCATAAATCGATTAAATTGCTATTTTTAAATACTGTTTGCTAATAACTGCTATGTTTTCTAGAGATTTTATATGCAATCATCGTTTTCTAATTTGTTTACAAAAGAGGTTTACGATCGGTTGACTGATCGAAACGTCCGTAATTGATAGCAAATACGCACTTTTAACGGTTGACAAGCATCGCGAATATATTCTTTGATTTTTGTTAGATAAATCGATATCGATGACAGACAATTATCGATTGTTGGATCAAATATATCGTAAGCATAATGATTGTTGATAGATGATTGATTAGAAGAATATTTTTAAATAATTGTAATTGATTATCTATAAAATAAAATAGAAAATTTTGAGGATTAAAATAAAAAAACGTGTTTCCTGTTCTAAATGTATTGTCACACGCCTATTCTGCTCTTTTAGGAATTGATATTCATCATCGGCAGTTTTCATCATTCTCTTGGCTGTTCGAGCTTCTTTAGTGCTTTCAAGTTTTTTTTAGAAACGTAGTTTCTAGAAGTTTCTAGAAATGTAGTTTTGGGCCTCATCTGGCCCCTTCCAACGGCCGTCCGATAACCGTAGGATAAACTAAATGTTTATATTGACCTGAGCGTTTGCTCGGAATTCCGAGCTAGCGTGCGTCGTTTAAAACGTTCAAAAATTTCAACGTGTGTTGTAAAATTTTAAGATAAAATTTCCGTACGTAACAATTTATATAAAAATAAATGTAAATTTGCACTGAACTAAATGATAACAATCTATATTTTAATCAATAAGACTAAATGTTCTGTCGGTTTTTAATATAGTCATAATAAAAAGGTGACATTTTCTGCATTTTCAAGAAAGAATCCAGAAATTGGTAAAAAATAAATAAAATAAATATCATTCTTTACAAAAATTTAAAATTATTTAAATATGTTAAGAATATAGTATTATATGTATGTATAACATTTAATAAATTAGTGATAAAAAGTGAAATAAAAATTCTATAAAATATCTCTCGAATAAAACAACGAATAATATTCATTATTTATTCATCATTTAAAAACTGATGAAATTCGAGAAATCTTTCGTTTTCAGTAATTTAAAGTAAATAATCATTGTTTCACAAAAAACAATTCTAAATTAATTTGTATCAATTATAGAACAGTTAGTATTTTCCATTTTGGAAATAATATTTATATACTTTGGTTTGTAAATAAAAATAATATTCATATATATTTTGCCTAGATACGGATGTAATGGGAAAACAGAACCATGTACGGAAATTGTGTAATTAATCGTTATATGTTGTTATGTAAGATCAAGTTTAATAAAGTATTATTCAAAGAAATAACTCGCCGATTTATTCAGTCAGAAATTATTAGAGAGAAACAGGACGTCGCTAGTTGCTAGTCAGTGAAAGTTACATAAGCGAAATAGGTAGATGCACACTTGTTTCCAGCTTAGCAACACCAGAGATTCTCTTTCGTCAGTCAATACGTACGTATATTTTAATCTAATCTTTCATGTTAAATATCAATCTAAATAAATATATAAACTACAAGGTAACGTTATTGGAGCGACGCTTGTCAAACGTTACAAAGTCATTGGTGTTTGCAAAATGTTATGAAGTCCTGCTTTTCAGAGCTTTTTCCTTATACAATTTTATATAAATCATAAGGTAAAGACCGCGCTTGACGACAATAATGACCGCAAAGTGCAAATTCGAAAAGCAATAAAGTTCTAAAAGTGTTAAAGTCTTCGAAAATTTTTCCCTAAAATTGTACCGCTCGCGCTGTTACGTTACACGTTACTTCGCGGAAATATGGTTACCGGCAAGATCTCCCGGATACTTCGCGAATTTTTATTACGTTACATTTTTACGTAACGCCGGCGACGACGGAAAGGTCAGCAACAAGTGTCAGATTTTTCCGGAACGGCTTCCCGTGCGCGGCGTGATCGACGAGCCGAATTTAAATATGTGCGGGGACCTACCTCTTCGGTGTCTTTCCTCGTGCTCGTGAAAAAATTCGCAATACGCTGCCAGCGGCTTTCGCAGATGAACGTGGACAAAATGAGAACTTCGAGGTTCCGCAGCTGATGTCGCGCGTACGATGGTCCAACCGTAAACTGACTCGTTGTACTGTCATTTATCTTCTTATAGCAGAATCCCCACTCACACGGACGATCATGCCATGAGTAAATTGTTGAGGGCTCCCTCTTCCCGGCTGCTCCGCTCGCCGCGCCGGCGAGAACCGCTCGAGTGTGTAACGCATGCATTCGGTGTCACGAATGCCCTCACCTTGCTTGGATAGGCATTTTCGGAACGCGTTCAGATATAATTATGTCTATTCGCGATTTAATCTGTTGACCCCGCATTTTAACCGGAAACATTCCGTCAATAACGTTCAGTTTAGACAATTTCGACACTTTGAACGCGTAACGGAATATCGTGCGTCTTCACAATATCATTCTTATCGACTATTTTCGCAGATACTCAGAAATAGAACGGAAACTGAAATGGAATTGAGATAGATTGAAATTGAAAAGTGAAATGAACTGAAACAAATAGAAACGAAATAAATGGAAATCGAAATGAAAAAATAGGGTGATGACATCTTGCGATGACTACGTAATGAAATAATAAAAGCTTTATGGTATATTGTGTATATATATCAAGTAAGAAAAATGAGAAATAAAACAGATTACTTTATTACTCATTTAATTATTGTATGTATTTGAGAAATGA